GGCGGCATATAAATAAATAAATAAATAAAAATTAAAAATACAGTGTAGAAAAATATGTTAATAAAACAAGGTAATCCTTTATGATTATCTTGAATTAAATAACCCTGCATTTATTTGCTTAAGTCTGAACTTACTTTCTATAGTAGTAAGAGACATATTCTGCAGGCTTCAACAGAACTGATATATCCTAACTAAGATTTTCGTAATTCAGGAGTTCAAATTTTCCTATTTCTATACAGTAACTAATGTTAAATTATTCTGGCATTGTTTTTTTTTTTCTTTTGCTGGCTCAAGGACTGGGGAGAAGCATTAGCATGCAGTCCTAAAGCACCTAGAAGACAAGATTTTCTGATTCGTGTGATTTGTAATATAATTCCTTATTTATATGTATTGCCCTCGAACCATCCTATATTAAAGGAAAAGTAAGTAACTTAGTGTTTCCCAGGTTTTTTTATCTAAAGTGCCTTGCCAATGGCCATGTTGGCTGATCCACTGGGAATTAAAATTCAAATCATTGGATGGCTACCATTCAATACACATACATTTTCTCTGTAATAGAAATATTGTCCTGAAAAGAATGCTTTGTGATGGGTGCTGAGAATGGCAGATGGGAGTACATGATCTGAGTTAAACTAACATTTAGTTTGGGTAGACAAAATATTTAAATTTCTTCTGTCCCTCATCCAGAATGTTTTGTTTTGTTCTTGGCAGAGATACCACTCAGTACACGTGATCTGTACTGGAGTAAATGTTTCCTAAGACACCGCTGGGAACTTTTGAATAATTCCCTGTGATGCGTGTGGACAGTTTATTTAATGGATGTTGCCAGGAACATCCTGTGACATGAAGAGACTTGCAATGGATGACAAAGGAAATGTATGATGTTCCAGGTTTTTTTAGGAAAAAAATGAGACTTACATGCAATTGCTATGGGTATTATTAGATAGTGATGTAAGAATTGGTGAATCTCTGCAATTGATATAGGTGTTATAATTTTGTTGTGTTTATTGCATTCTCCAGCTTAGTATTTTTTGGATCTGTTGGGACTGCAGCAGTTCCCAGAAGTCTCCAGCAACAATCTTGGTAGCTGTGGAATTCTGAGTGCTGTCATCTTATCCAACCACCTGGAAGAAGGCAGTTTGGGGGAGCACACTTGGGTCTCGAATCCGGGTTGTCAGCTTTCCAACTGATAAGCTCAGTGTGCTCTACCCGACTCCGTTGTTACAGCCTGAAACTGTCTACTCTATATATCCTATGACTACCATTAAGTGTTGTACCTTATGATTCTTGATGAACATATCTTTTCTTTTATGTACAGTCAGAGCATATGCACCAAGACAAATTCCTTGTGTGTCACACTTGGCCAATTAAAAATTCTGTTCTGTTCCGTTCCGTTCCGTTCCGTTCCGTTCCGTTCCGTTCCATTCCATTCCATTCCATTCCATTCCATTCTATTCTATTCTATTCTATTCTATTCTATTCTATTCTATTCTATCGTGGCTCTCACCCCATTCCTAAGAGGTCCCATAAAGGGGGCATGCATAAGCACACCGGCATTCCTACCGTCCCTGTCCCCATTTATCTGTACTTACTTCCTTTGTTTATGTTTATACCTATACCTGCTATCTTATACATGTTTGACAAACAAACATATAAAATAAATAAGTATCTTTAACCAATGAGTCATCACAACCTCCCTTATGTACTCATGATGATCATGTTATCGTTAAAACGTGTAAACTTTTGTTGAAATGAGATAGAACAATAAGTGAAATATTGTATAATAAAATGGATGAAAATATACACTAAATATTGGTATATTATTTGGCTATAATATACCAATGGATCACCGGGAAAATATGTGGCTGAAAGGACTGAAATTTACTTTATGTTCTAACCTTAAAAACAATTCATGTAAAATTATGCATTGTTTGTATTTGTCACCAGAGGAAACTGTCTAGAACAGGGGTGTCAAACTCAATGAAATTGGGTGTGACACCCTGATCTAGAATATATAAAGATACTTTGAATTTTTGCTGGAAATGCAAAGAACATGAAGGGACATTTTACCATGTTTGGTGGACATGCAAAAAAGTTAAACAACTTTGAATACAAATGCATAGATTAATTCAGAGGATTTTAAAGATTAAAGTACATCTGAAATCAGATTTTTATTTTGTGATTAATGGACAGGCAATGATTAAAAAAAAGTCATGGAACTTTGTTTTTATATATGGATGACTGCAACAAGCTATTATATAGCTCAAAAGTGAAAAGATTTGATATTATTACAATGGAGGAGGAAGATGATGGAACTTGCGGAGATGACTAAATTAACTGTAAAATGGATTTTTAACATTCATTTGCTATTACATATGATCAAGATCAGTATATGTCAACATGTGCTCCCCAAGCAGATTACGAAAGCCCTATAGGGTATACAGCAGCTTTGAGAAAGGACTTGATCACTTTGGGGCTCCCTTATGGTTCCTGTTTAATTCACACCTATTCAAAACAATGCAATACCAAAACTAGGCTAGTTCATCAGGGAGCTCATTGTACAAAGCCTTAGAATAGTTTCTTTTTGTTTAGGTGCATTCTCTTGTGCAAGTCCAATCAATTGTATCTTATTCCACAAACTCTTAAGGAAATCAAATTCTATACTTGTCCTCACCACCTCTTTTTCTAGTGGGCAGAAGTGCTTAACAACTTGCTGAGTTGTGTATTACTCTCAGACAGGAATTCTCAAAAACAGTTTGTAGATAAGAGGAAGTCATTTGTTGTCGGTGTACCTGGGATCATGATTGAAAACTTGCTTGTAAAAGTGACAGAAATTGCCTATAAAGCAGACTTTGGCTTTTGGGTGTACTTTTCTCTTGACGTAATACCAAGCACTGCTCAGTTGTAAGGCAACTGGCCAAGAGATTTTCCACCCATATTGAACTGAAGAACAGCCATGTAAAAAAAGTGAACCAAATATAAAATATAGTGAATGTCAAGAATCCTGGTAATTTACATGTAATGCAGGCCTATATATTGTATTGTTTTGCAATATCTGTTTGATTACATGGGTGGAGAGGGGAGCCATAGAGGACTTTTTTTCATTATGCGTTGTATTCTTTTTGACTTTGTTCATTGTCTAAAATCACATACAGTATGTGATGAGCAGCTGTATACATTTACCAAATAAATCAGAAATTGAATGAAGTCCTTATGGAATGTTTTTAAGTATCATTGTACAATTGTTTATATATTTTCAGACACAAAAAAATCAGATCTACATGTGCAGAGTTATATTCTGCTTATTAATACAGGATTTTCTCCAGGCTGCTTGTCTTCCCCTTGGGAACAGATACCGTAGAGAAGGTGCCATGCTTGAGGGAGGGGTTTTTAGTGGTGGATCTCTTGCAGTTACGCAGATTAAAGGATAATTACTTGAATCCTCATCCCTGCCTGGCTGGGCATTTCCCAACATCCAGTGGTGAAATCCAAATTTTTTTACTGCCGGTTCTGTGGGCGTGGCTTGGGCATGGTGTGACTCGGTGGGCATGGCAAGGGAAGGATACTGCAAAATCTCCATTCCCTCCCCACTCCTAGGGGAAGGATACTGCAAAATCCCCATTCCCTCCCCACTCCTGGGGGAAGGATATTACAAAATCTCCATTCCCAGCCCACTCTGGGGACAGCCAGAGGTGGTATTTGCCGGTTCTCCGAACTGCTCAAACTTTCTGCTACCGGTTCTCCAGAACCTGTCAGAACCTGCTGGATTTCACCCCACCAACATCCCTCTCTCACTCTTCTCATATAATTTAAAATTAAAGAGATCAAATCAACATTTCCATCTACTACTGCATTCAGAGACTATTTTGTTAATCCTACGGAGGTCTAATCAGATAATCCTAACAAGTTCAGTGGGACTTCCTCTACAACTGGAACAAATCTCATGGGATTATAATAATAATATAAATATAATTAATGTAACTATAATTAATAGAGGACGAATAGATCTTCGAGAATTTTGCAGAGAAACGGAAAGCAATGTCCATCAACGTCTATCGGGGAGAATCCGATGCTTAGCCCAGGAGTCTGCACTGGGACGCCCCTACCTTCCTGATTTCAAGGCAGAAAGCCCAGACGGGTTAAGACAGGGGTCAGCAACGTGCAGCTCTGGAGCCACATGCGGCTCTTTGGGCCCTCTGCTGTGGCTCCCTATCAGGTGATCTCACCACTGGCTGACCCTGCTCCTGCCCCTCACCCTCCCCTCCCAGTCACTCCTTGCCTGGCTTGAAAAGGTAAGGGCGACCGTGGGGGGATGAGAAAAGCGGCCAGGGCAGAGACAGAAAGACATAGAGAGAGGGGGAGAGAGAGAGACATAGAGAGATACAGGAAGAGAGGGAGGGAGGGGAGAGAGAGAGAGAGATGTCAAAAGGATTTTGTGGTTCCCAGTGTTTTTTAACAACTGGTTCTCTGCCCTAATGACCGGCTGGGTAGGGATGGGGGTGTGTGTCATGTGACTGCTGGAAGTGAGTGACATCAAGTTGGCCACGCCCACCCAGGTTTTAAACCTCGTGTTTTCTTTTCTGTGGGAAACGGTTCCAAATGGCTCTTTGAGTATTTAAGGTTGCAGACCCCTGGGTTAAAAGATAAGCCGGCTAGACCAGGTTTCTTCAACCTTGGCAACTTTAAGCCTGGCGGACTTCAACTCCCAGAATTCCTCAGCCAGCTTTGCCCTTGACGTAAAGCTTTGCTGGGGTGGTGGAATTCTGGGAGTTGAAGTCCGCCAGGCTTAAAGTTCCCAAGGTTGTAAGAGGTCTAGACTACCCATCCGATTAGGGAACAGCACGTGTAAACGAAGGAGGGGGGGGGGAGGCAGCTAAGCGTCCGATGATTGACCGCAGAGGCGGAGCCCTCCCAGTGCCTCCAATTACGTAACTGGGCCGTGAGAGAAAGAAGCGGCGCCGCGGGTTGTGATTGATAAAAGGGGGAGGGGGGAAGGGGCGTGGCCTTAAACAAGCATGGCGGCCTCCGCGGGCGCAGCTGCACTGGGCCGAAGTTCGCGCGCGGCTCTTTCACCTTGGACGCTGCGGGTGCCACGCGCCGGGCGCGGGCGGCTGCTGAGCCCCGCCGGCCTCGGAGGGCGGGCGCCGGCTGCCCTGGCCGCTTCTAGCCAGCCGAGTGCGGGAGGAGACGAACGCTACTGCCTGGATTTGCTGCGGTGAGGCCGGCGGCTGCTTCTTCGGGTTCCGCCGGGGTTAGGGGAAGGGTCGGAACTGGACTGGGCAGGATAAGCAGGGCAATTCCCCCCCCCTGCCGGGATGTGGTTTGCCACCGATTTGATTTGCATATATTTAGATCAGTGTGACGTCAGAGGCGCGAGACGTGTTCCAACCGCCCTTGAGCACGACCTGCAAGCCGCGAGGCCGTGTCTTAATGTTGCTGGGGGAGAATGCGTGAACTTTCTCCAGCTTCCTCTCCCGGGATTTAACATTTCTGTATTGCATTTATATCCCAGGCGTCTCCTCAAAGAGCCCCGGTGTCCCCCTTGTGCATTTGCACGCGTGCATTTGCACACGTGCCATTCCTAGTACAGTATCCGATGTGCTTGTCCTCTGGAGCAGGGATCTCCAACCTTGACAACTTGAAGCCTGGAGGACTTCAACTCCCAGAATCCCCCAGCCAGCAAAGCTGGCTGGGGGATTCTGGGAGTTGAAGTCCTCCAGGCTTCAAGTTGCCAAGGTTGGAGACCCCTGCTCTGGAGTGTCATCCCCTGATTTTTTTGCAGTGGTGACCACAGAATAAATAATTCACCCATTTTTCAGGTTTGTTCTTTATTTTTTTCCCAAGACAATACTGTTGTTGGTGTTGTTATTGTTCTGTCACTAAGTTGAGTCCAACTCTGGGACCAACCTCATGGGCCATAGCACACCACTGCTCCCTTAAGTGTATTCTAAAAGCATGTTGGGTAAAGCATATATATGGTATTGTACAATAAAACCATCTCCTTTTGTAGTCAGAGCTTTCTGATTATCTAAAACTAAAGAGGGAATGGCCAGAGAGATGGAATATGTTGCCCTGTTTCAAACTTAATTTGGAACATATCTCTCTATTTAGAACTTCATTCCCCCCACCCCCGTAAACTTTGTATAGATCCTATTATACTTACTCTCTTTCTGTCATATGTACAGTATGTATGTAACAGTTCTACTGTTAAATTTGTTACTGCATTTGGTCTTACAGCTGTAATAAATTGATTTGATTTGACTTCATAAATGCAAGCCTTCATCTCTGATTTGAAATGGTACAACCCATTCCACCATTTCATTGCAATACATTTCAGCTTTGTGTCTGTTGGGCAAATAAACGAATGTTGCCGGAATTATTTTTTGATGACCAGCAAAAATGTGTTGCTTTTTAGAGATAGAGCCTATTTAATACTTTGTGGTTGTCTTCCGATAGCGCCAAGTTAATCTTGTAATAGCTTTTGAAGACATGATGTGCCTGTAACCTTAATTTTAAAATAAATCCTAGGCACTGTGTATTGAGTATACTCTACTTTAGAACAGGAATGGGCATCCTGGTACTGAATGCTCCTGAAGAACTGGACTACAATTCTCATTAGCCAGCCTGCAAATCAGTGCTTTATGGTTGTAAGAATGGTAAACTGGACCATATGGAGAGTACCAGTTTACATCCCCTTGATTTAGATAATAACTGCAAAATGATTTTTGTACTCTGCTTAGAATCACATTCTGTGAGGTGGGCAATCATGTCAATTTGATTAATAAAATTAAAAACATAATTGAATTGAGACACTTTTTATCTGTTCCACTGGCTAAATGAGCTTGTAATGAAAGCAAATGCTCTTATTTATTCTTTGTATATCTAGAAAACGGGATTATGAAGGCTTCCTCTGTGCATTGCTATTGCCTGCAGAATCACGTGCCTCTGTCTTGGCCCTGAGGGCCTTCAATGTAGAACTGGCTCAGGCAGGTATTAAAATATCCATTATACAACACAATGTTAACATTAAAAAAAAAACACCTCTAAAAATCCCAAACATGAAGTTCTTGTTTTTTCCTGTCAGTTACTGTCTTGCCAAGTATTAGTCAGCAATACCAGGCTGGCTAAAATAGATTATTGACTTACATATGAAAACATGACAATAAAAGTAATTCCTAACATGTATATGCATTACTTTGACAAATATGTAAAACAATCTCCAATCTTATAAAACTGTGCAAGGTGTACAAAATAAATCGTTTGGGTACTTTATAATCTTTTTAGGATTCTGTCACTATGAATAGATATTTGTCTGTATCATTCTGTCGTAATTTAGGAACAAATGAAAATAATACTGATTTTAATGAATTGCTCTGGAATATTCCATTATTTGCTTTTGATATATTCAACTGTCCCTTTAGAACAGGGGTGTCAAACTGGTGGCCCGTGCAGGCCACACACCCCCTGGCTCCGCAAAGGCAAAAAACGTCACAATACGTGATGTCACATGACATGATCGAGTTTGACACCCGTGCTTTAGAATATGTATCCTGATACTTTTAAGTAGCTGTTGACCAATCTTTAAGAAAGTGGTTATAGCTATAGAGCAGGGGTGTCAAACTCGATTTTATTGAGGGCCGCATCAGGGTTGTATTTGACCTTGGAGGGCCGAGGTGGGCATGGTCAGGGTGGGCATAGCCATCTCGACATCACTCATGTTGGGGGCTTCTGTGGTGGCCCGAACGCTCTGCCAGCAAAAACAGCTTCCAAGCTCCATTTCAGCTATGATGGCCTCCTGCAACCCTCTGTCAGTGAAAACGGAGGTCGGGAAGGTCGCACGCAACTGTCCCAAGCTCCGTTTTCAGCTGTGATGATCTGCAACCCTCTGATAGTGAAAACGGAGCTCGGAAGGGCCACATGCAGCTCTCATAAGCTCTGTTTTCACTGGCAGCGGCACTGCGGGCCAGTCCTTCACTGTTTCCAGAGCAATCCCATGGATCTAGCACCTCGCTGGCCGGATCCCACCCCCGGGCCTTGAGTTTGACATCCCTGCTATAGGATGTCATGAAGGAAATAGATTATCTGGACCTGTTTAAGTCAGTTTTCAAGGCTGGGTTTGGCACAGGGGTAACAATGATTGCTTTTGAGAGAAGAGATAAATGAATAAAATCACATTATGAGTTATCATTATGTAAAAATCAGGCTTTTGCTTTAATACTTTTGTACAAATTAAATGTTAATTGTATCCAGAAATTATATGCTAAACAGATATGTTAGTGTGACATTGCTTGTCCCATAGAAAGAGTTCGAATAAATATTTTGGTCGCAAGCTATAATCAGCAGCTGTAATAATTGTCACTATTGAAAAAATTGGTATCTCCAAGTCAATGAGTCTTTATTCTTGAAAAACAGTACCAAAATCTGACACTCATTTCAAAGTTGAATTTAGAAGGTACATATCCAAACTAAACCTGAGTACAACAATAGCCAAGGCTGATATTGCCTTCAAATTGCCTATTTGCCTTTTTACAGACCAGGAATAACTATGTTTGTTAGATAAGCTTGAAATGTTTTCTTGCTTATCTTCTACTAACTACTACTACTAATAATAAGTGGATTAAGAACAGTTGAAAGATGTTATCAGCCTAATGATTAGTTGGGAACTTTATCAACATAATCCTTCCAGAAAGTAAGAAAATTTGGTTTAACAGATTAACAGAGCTGGAAGGGACCTTGCAGGTCATCTAGTCCAACCCCCTGCCCAAGCAGGAGACCCTACATCTGCCTCTACCTAGAATCGAACTCACAATCTCCCAATTGTGAGGCAAGAGCTCCACCTCTAGGCCATAGCAGCTGGGCTAATTATATATTTCATTTATAAATTACATATTATGGTTGATAGCTTCCTAATTTTAAAATGATTAAATCTTTGCAAGCACTTTTTAATACCTGAAAACTTGGGATTTCCTAGATCTTCCCTTACTTATATCTTTGTCATCTACTGAGATCTATTGTAGTTGTTTGCAAATAACTAAGAGTGGAGCCTCTCTCCTCTCCCCATGGTGGGATTCCTCATTCATGGAAGAATCCTGTGTATCTACAACAGGCTGCTCTTTTTCACATCTCCTCCCTTTGTTTAAGCAATATCATATATTTGGTGTGATTAAAAAAGCAGGGTATTTGGACTATCACTCCTATTCTGTTTCTGTTCCAGATTAGAGACTCTGTAACTGAGAAGACAATTGGTTTGATGCGGCTAGAGTTTTGGAGGAAAGCTGTAGAAGATATTTACCAGGATAATCCACCACAACAACCAGTGGCAATAGAGTTGTGGAAGGTATAAGGCTAAGCAGTGAATTAAATATTTTTTCGGGTAACTGAATGCCACCCTGAGCAGTACACAAAGCTAGAATCTTCTTATTTTTTTCCCCCTTTGGGATATTTTTTTTTGTTGAACAAGTGGAGTTGATGGGGTGTTCTCTGAGTTATGAGTTACATTAGCCCATTTTAGCTTTATATTAATGTTTCTATATTTTGCATCTCAACAGTGGCAAAAAAAAATATCAATGCACCCAAGTTTTGTCAATGCTGGTCAGCAGTATAAGGTGGGGTAGAAAAAAAGGGAATAGGTGGGTCAAATGTTTGGTATAGCATAGCCTTTACATTTTAAATTGTAATCATAGTGCTTTTATATTTGTGGGAAATGCTCTTGGAAAGTTTTTATCAGCTGGCTTGAAAAGAAGTGGATTTAAGATAATGGAGAAATTAAATTCAGGAAATGGAAAAATATCTTCCACGTTGTAGGGTAGATACTTGGGTGTGACCCTTTATCAGGAAGACATGGGGAGAGGCAACTGGGCACTCTGATGCAAATGATGCCCTCTTTCCTTGGAAAGTAAACAAATAGTGCCAATCTTTCTGATAGATTGCCTAATCTTTTCCAGGGTGACCTTCAGGTTTTTCAGAGGAAGTTGCCTGTCCTTTGGTCCCCATATAAATTAGAACCACCTGTCTGGCTTCGCATCAGTAAAATAGAGTTTCAGATAAAAGTTTTCCTGAATATAACATTCACTTACTCAGTCACCAGTTACAGCTTTGCATTCCAATTTTACCTGTATCTCTATTATCCACAAATCTGTAACGATTCCTAGGAATCTTCTCTTGTAAAAATTGTTGCAGATGTTCAACTTAATTGCTCGTGACCTCACATTTAAGAGGGTTGTAGTTGCTTTGCAGATCAATTCAGAGCAGCAATTTACAGATAATCCTAGAGTTATGACGGTAATTGGGAGTGGAATTTCTGTCACTAAGCGATGCAGTTGTAAAGCATGACGTCACATGTTAACTGAATTCCACCAGCCTTTAGCCAAGACTTTCTGGGCTTGATCCCTCCAGGGCCTGAGCCTCAGTTCTTCTAAAGTAAGGGACTGCCTCCCCTTTAGTTCCCCAGACTGTTTGTTCTCTCCCATCTGCAGGGCAGTAAGCAGCTCCAAAACCATGTGCCCCTGGATTAATTGCTTCCCTACAACTCACAGGCAACGTGGCATGCTGTGGCTTTAGAGGTGCGCAAAACCTCAGCTGCTTCTAGGAGCCACCCTAGACTTGTTGTGGCTGCAGTCGCCTTCACCACCTGGCACTCTGAGGCCTCTGCTATAATAAGACATGGCTGTTTTTAAGATTCAAAGAGAGGTGATTTGAATTTCACGTGTTGAAAGAGATGTACAGCCCTGTAGCCCAGCCAGGATAGCAATATATCTTTCACTGCATTTATTTATTTATTTTCAAAAGCTGCACCACCTCTCACTTGATTAAATTGTCATTTCAATCCCCTACAGCATCAGATTGCTGACTGTTGAAAATGGAATGTTAGATTAAATAAGCTTTTAATATAAACTAGCAATGGTGTTTATCTTGGTTTGATTTTTTTATTTCTTCTTGTTTTCTACATGAGTATATCCTGTTCATCTGATTTTAGGCTGTTAGGAGGCAAAACCTGACCAAAAGATGGCTTATGAATATTATTGACCAAAGGGTAAGTTTTACATTATTTTCAAAAAAGAAAAATTCCCCCTTCAGTATTCTTGAATAACTTGAATAAAGAGAAGTTCTTGTAACTGAATTCTATGTTGAGGGTTATGTTTTTGCAATAAAATACTTAGTGTCTTTTTGCAATAACAATCTCCAGAACAATTTGAAATGAGCCATAACATTTAATATAGAACTCATAGACATGTATAGCAGCATTCTGTAAGCTTTCTTTACCATTTTTTTCAAAAAATGTGACTGTATGTCATGGTAAAGATGCAATTGCAACCACTGTGGGAAAATGCTTAATTTTGAAAGGCTGAAAAATGTCCTGAAGTGTTTATTGTACTGTAAGAGACTATAATATACTGTATTTGCATTAGGAATATATTTTTAAATATTTTATAAAGGTAATATAGAGTAAACTGCAGTATGAACAAAATATCGAAAATGCGGGTTATGATTATTACTGTATTTTTCTTCCCTGGTGATTTTAATTCAGTTTCCATAAACATGCAAGATTTTACTGTATTATGAAAGGTAAACTAGCTGAGTTAGATTGATATTTAGGAAACTACATAAATGTCTTGATTTCAGTCCCTCAGAGATTATGCAAGTGGCTATTGAGAAATGCTTATTGGTTTTGTACTAATAAATAACGAGTAAATAAACTGATTAACCAGTTTAATTACAGAGCTCAGTGGAAGATATGGTCTGCATAGTAGAGGCATCGTGAGCTTCTGTCTTTGCTGAAAAAAATTGTCAATCTATATATTCCTTTTATTTTCAATCTGATTGACTTTCAAAAAGTATCTAGCATTACCTTGAGCTATTTAATCATTACATTAGCAGGCAGCTCAATAATACCTCTTTCCATTAGCAGATTCCAGCTGTTTCAGAGGTACACAATTAACTGCATAATAGGATCAATTTCCAAGGCTCCTCTATTTACAATGACTGTACATAAAGGAGACCTGTGTTCTTTCTAGCTGAGAGGAAAATTTGTAAAGGTAAAACATCATCTCCTAAACATGATTATATGCTTCTAGTAAAGATTAAGACTTCTTTTGTTCTTGATGCTTAGCAACTCCTTTCCCTCTGTTTTTTTTTTCTTTCCTTATTTTTCTCCTCTCTTTTTTAAACAAAGGAAACAAGACAGTGATTTAGTTTAGGAGGAAAAATAATCTACATGTCCCCAGCTCAGAAGATAATGCTTTCTTTTAATAAAAGTGACATCCTTCTATTTCTTAAGTTAACTTCAGTGATTGGTTGTTCAATATATACTTCCCCTTTTTGTTTTCAAACGCACAGGAAAAGAATCTGGATGACCGAGCTTATCGGGATATCAGTGAACTTGAGACGTATGCTGAAAATACACAGAGCGCGCTCCTTTATCTTACCCTAGAAACACTTGGTAGGTGCACTCTTGATTCCTCTGGCACTTGCCACATGGATGGATGTACCAATGTAGGCAGTCTTTGATTTATGACCACAATTGAGCCCAACATTTCTGTTGCCAACCAAGTTAAGTGAGCTTTGCCCTAGTTTTATACAACTTTTCTTCCCACAGTTGTTAAGTGAAGGAATATAGTTGTTAAGTGAATCTGGCTTCCCCATTGACTTCGCTTGTCAGATGGTTGCAAAAAGGTGATCGCATGACCCTGGGATACTGCAACTGTCACAAATGAGTCAGTTGCTAAGTGTCTGAATTTTGATCACTTGACTATGGAGGTGCTGCAGTGGTCTCAAGTATGAAAAATAGTCATTAGTTACACTGCGTTGTAACAGTCACTAAATGAATGGTTGTAAGTCTACCATAGTTTTTTTGCTCATGGCCTACCTATGTGATTGCATTTTCTTACAGGGTAACTATGTTAATACATGCAATTATCACATGTACAATTTAAGATTACAGTTGGCCAGTAAAAGGCAGAGATCTTCTTTTTCCCACTCCCCAATAATAATGAAGTTCTGTTTCTAAGCATCCGACAAATGTGGAAAATCCAAATATACTGTTTGCATTTTTATATTGTTCTTTAAACAATGTCTTACCTATCAGTTCTGACTAGATTTTGCTGCCTTGCCATTTCAATAAGCATCCTTTAGGCTTATCTTTTCTCTATTTACAGGTGTGAGGGACATCCATGCAGACCATGCAGCCAGTCACATAGGGAAGGCACAAGGCATTGTAACGTGTTTAAGGGCAACTCCATACCATGCTAGCAGAAGGAAGGTGTTTCTTCCCATGGATATTTGCATGCTGGTAAAACAGTAAAGCTGAGATCCAGTTTTGTAACAATATTCATACTGTTGATGTCATGTTGATAGATCAGGTAGCAACATGCAAATTCTGCTGACAGTTGTGTGTCATTTCTATTTTTAATAGGATTTCAGAATTGGTCCTTCAATGGAAGTGCTTGTACATCATGACTTATATTTTGTTTTGGGAATAAGATTACTAGATGGGAAATTATTGGAACACTTGAAATCTAATCTTTAAAACACCTTATCGTTATTGTCCTCTTAGATGCCTAAAAACCTTGCTGTGACATTCCAGTTCATTTGTTGATCTCTATATCAAAAAATGATGCATACTGTATTTTTTGGAGTATAAGACACATCTTTTCCCACCCAAAAAGAGGGTAAAAATCTGGGTGTGTCGTATATTCCGAATGTAGCCCCGCCCAGCTTCTCAAACGGAGGTTTCAGAGGCTGAAAAAAGCATCAAAAACGAAGCTTCAGAAAAGAAGCCCCCAAACAGAGCTTCAGAAAAGAAGGCCCCAAACCGAGCTTCAGAGGCTTTTTTCCTGAAGCTCTGTTTCGGAGGCTTTCAGAGGCAGGAAAAAAAGTTTTTTCTGAAACGGGGTTTCAGAGGCAGAAAAAAAAGCAAAAAAAAAGCTAGGCACAGAGTTCACAACCAAGGAACCTGTTGTTAAAATTCACCTCTGGAAACAGCTGATTGGGGGTATTCCGGGAGGCTGATCCACCTGCCAATCAGCTTTTTTTTTATTTTCCTCCTCAAAAACTAAGGTTCATCTTATACTCCGGTGCGTCTTATACTCCGAAAAATACGGTACATGTTCTTTCTGCTTACAAGCTTAAAAACTTTATGTCTATATTTTCATTTATTTTTATGCATTCAGGTAGTCCTTGGTTAAACAACAATAACGGATTAGAATTTTGTTGCTAAGCAATGCAGTTCTAAAGCATGACAAAATATAACTGCATTGCTTAGTGATGGTAATCCTGGCACTCCCCATTGCCATAGTTAATCAGATCCCACCTGATCTTTAGGTGAGGATCCACCCCAATCCAAACCATTCCCAGGTTCGTTCCTCCCAGCCCTAAGCCTTGGTAAAATAAGCAACTGTCTCCTTTGCCTCCTCTTCAATTCCCCCCACCTGCATATCTCCTCCGCTTCTCTGCCCTTTTCGCCACTTGGCACTCCACCACTTCTGCCAGCCCTGTTCTCCACTCGCCCTGCTGCCCTGGGCTCTGCCTTCCAAAGCCCCACAAGAAGGCTGTATGGGATTTGAACAATGTGGCCTTGTGAAGAAGCCAACAGCTGCCTCACGAAGGCCAGACCAGGCACACCTCATCGGCAGTGGGAGGGAAGAAGATGGTAAAGGCCAGGTGGGGATGACAGGGCCAGTGGAATGCAGGGTAGCCAAAAGAGCAGATTTGTGGGGAGAGAAAACGGGTGAAGGGAGTTGAAGCACCCATATGGTTGTAAGTACAAGTGGATTGCCAAGTAATATGTTACTTGTTTGGGTGTACTGCAGTGGGTACAACTTTGCGAACCGAGCTTAACTGTTAAGGATTAAAATGAGGGTTTCTGCTACCAATAGACCGTGGTCCGATACGCAGACGAATGCATCAGCAAGAAATTGATTGAGCAGTCTAGAGAAACTATTTGGTTTAATAAAAACATATGAAAACAAAACCTACAAAAAGGCATCAACAGCCCATAGAATTCTCCTCACAGCAAAGTCCATTTAGCTCTTGTTCTTCCCAAGCAAGGGAGGCATCCAGCATTCTTCAGCAGCCTTCTCAGGAACAAGGCAATGATTCAGCTCTTTTAGCGACTTCAGCTCATAGTGACTTCAGCTGCTCAGCTCTCGGCTGGAGAGTCTCTGCTGGTTTCTCTCTGAGTCTCTCGAGGCTCTCAAAGCTCTGAAAGAAGTCTGTTCCTGCAGCTACTTATATACACCTTTCTGACCGTTGAAAAGTGCGGGAAACTCAGAGCCACGAAGCTGTGCTCTGATTGGTCCATTCAAACAGTTCACCAAATGATCAGTTAGTTGCAGCAAACATGCTGAGAGGTTTTTACCTCTAACATTAACTGTTATCATTTGTTCAGTACTGACATAAACTCAAACAGTTGCTAAATGAATGGTCATTAAGTGAGGGCCACCTGTATGCAGTTGCTGAAGACCAGAAGGCATTTGGCAGTGACATGGTAGCTATACTCGGGGCCAAAATGTTTAGCTATTTGTGTGTGTGTGTGAGAGAGAGAGAGAGAGAGAGAAAGAGAGGGAAATTGGGTATTGTTGAAATGGTTCAGAATTAGCACACACCTATATTCAGATTAAGGTAAAGGTAAAGTTTCCCCTCGCACATATGTGCTAGTCGTTCCCGACTCTAGGGGCTGGTGCTCATCTCCGTTTCAAAGCCGAAGAGCCAGTGCTGTCTGAAGTCGTCTCCGTGTTCATGTGGCTGGCATGACTAAACGCCAAAGGTGCATGGAACGCTGTTACCTTCCCACCAAAGGTGGTCCCTATTTTTCTACTTGCATTTTTACATGCTTTCGAACTGCTAGGTTGGCAGAAGCTGGGATAAAGTAAGGGGAGCTCACGCGGCACTAGGAATTTGAACCGCTGAACTGCCGATCTTTCAATCGGCAAGCTCAACATCTTAGCTACTGAACCACCGCGTCCCTAACATATTCAGATTATATTTCTCATAATTTGAGGAGGCTCCAGAAATGGTACTGGAAGCTGCATACCTGCTACCCAAGTGTGCAATAGGTATACAGAGGAGCAAGGCTACCCAAACTTTAGCTGGTATTTATATTTCTTATTAGTAATTTCACATAATGGAGCAAATTAGAACTGTTAATCTCTCAGCTCCTTGCTTAATGTAATATTTACCTCATTCACATTTTTGTTCCTGAGAAAAACATTAAAGCATTTATTCATTCCTTTCATATTTTATTGACTCAGTGACACGATGCTTTGTAATAAAGCCTTTCCCACTGTGCTACTATTTAGATGTGTTCAGCTGCCACTGGTAATTCTCTGCCAAAGATTGGCAAAGGCTATTGTAAAACCTTCCTGAAACCAAGAGTGTTTTATGAAGGGAAATTACTGTGGAATTTTCTGTTGACATAAACATAAGATCACACTTTCTGAACTATCCTTAAGACTTCAAAAGATATCACGTTATATAGTATATATAACATGTTTATCTATCCATGTAATATACCTTCAGAACAGTAGTATATGCTTCCAGTGTATTTCCCAGGAACATTCAAAATTTGTTCCTGTTTTCCTTCCATGTATGTCAGCATGGTGTTTCACAAGAGGACTTCATAAGAAACAATGAGGCGAAGAAAATAAAAGATACTGTATATGACATTGCAAGTCAAGCCCATGTTCATCTGGAACACGTGAGTGTCTGGATTTTATCAAAAATTTCATTATCAATATTGTAGACCAGCAATCTCCAAATACATGAGGACAGAATTCCTCTCCAGCAATGGATAGTGGACATATTGGCTGGTAGTACACTTACTGTATTGGGGAAGGTTAATGTAAACCATAGTGGAACTTGGATAACTTAAGTTGTACAAATGGACAGATTCCAAGAACCCCAAATTTAAAAAAGAACTGGCTTCCTCTGGCTGGACATGAGAAAAAAAGACAAGTTTTGTTACCATTAATTGTATATTTGTGCCTTGTTTGAAAATAAAGCTGGATGCTGGAATTTTTGAATTGTAACTTTAAACTTTAAAAATAAATATTAGCGTTTAGAGTTTTGTGATACTGGCTCTTTGGAATAAGTGTTTCCTGTCCAGACCGTTAGAAATAATATTGACAGTAATGCTTCTTTTGTTTACTTTGTCCCCTCTTTGATGGGAGTTCTGCCATACAAAGATTTCATTTTTAATACTGTAGGTCAAATCCTTACCCATGGCAGAACAACAGCTGCAAAGCAGCAGTTTGATCCTCCAGTGAAAAAGTGTACATTAGAGAAATTGTGTAGCAAATGTATACATTGGGGGAAATACAGGCAAAGATGATTACTTGGGAAATAGCATTTATAAAATGTGTTTACATTTTGGAACATGTGTAGTGTGTTTAGTTCACATAGACTTTAGAAGAAAGCATGCAAACTAATATGGAGAAAGTATGAGTTAGATATGCAGTTACTGATTAGTATAAAGGAAAGTTACATGTAAATAAATGTTGCAACTACTGTAGTTACAAGCAGTTGTTAGGAGCATATTCTTCAATGGCCAACAGAGGGCGAAATCCATCTGCTTTTAAGCTTACATAAATTATTTCCATGTTATGATGTCAAAACTCTATGTAGCCTTGATAAATATAATTCCTGCTAATGTTTTGTTTTTCCCTTCTCCTCTTCTCTGCCTTCCATGCCTAATTTAATACTGCAAATTGGGGAGGGGGGAGGGGTTTGTCTTTCTGGTGATAGATAGCGGAAGAACTCTGTAGATCAGGAAACACTCATTTTGATCCAAGATTTCATTTCTCAGTCTCAGGAGTTTGAGACATACAGGTAGGCCTTGAGTTAAGTTGCTCACTAAGCAACCATTTGAAGTTACAAAGCACCCTCAAAGGTTCTTATGGCCTAGTTCTGATGGCTACTCCCCCTGTTTCATAACCGCATTTTGGTTGCTTGGCAACCAGCCAGCATTTACAGCCATATGGTTATATGATTGCTGTGTTCACTTAACAACTACTTCAAGAAAAGGTTATAAAATTAGATCAAAGACTCAGCATAAATTTAGGATTATCTGTACAGATAGTCCTCAGTTTAGGACTACAATTGAGCCCCAAATTTCCATTGCTTCAGTTGTTAAATGAGTTGTGCTTCATTTTACAACTTTTTGGTCACAATTGTTAAACAAATCACTGCAGTTGTTAAGTGAATCATGCGGTTGCATAGAAATGATCTCTGCAGTTCTACAAAGTAGTATATACTTTCTGACTTCTAGCATAACTGGAAAAGAGAAGAAAGCAGAGCAGAATTACTACAATTACTTTGGTTTGTGTGGCTCTGTTGATTCATTAGGATAAAAAAAAGCTGTGGGGATGCTTCCAACTTGTGCAAAGGGTACGAGAAAGTGAGGTTATTAACAGGAGCAAAACTCTGAGTAAGAGCAAAAGTAGGCTTCCTTTCTGTGGGTGGCATTAAAGTTGTGAAACGTCTTTACACTTTGGGAAGTGAAACTAACTTGAAAAGAAGGAAAACTTTTTGGACGTTCAAAGTTAAACTCGGAGTAGGAAGGTCCAGGCCAGATTTTGTGCTGATGTATATGTCACAAATTGGAATGAAATAACACTGTCGATCACCCGTCACCCTAATTGCTCTATCCCTGATTTGCTGGCTATGCTAATAGTGAAGAGTGTGGCTTTTGATAGGGAAGTGAAAAGATACGATTCACAGGTGAGGGAGGGAGGAAGGAAGGAGTTTCGTGATCATGTCTCTCGTAGTCAGAGGCAATTACCAGACAGGAGTAGGAGGATGTTTCTCAACAATATGCTGTTATCTTTTTTTCATAATCTGATGCTCTTGTCTTTCAAAAGAGACATTCTTCTGATTTGCAATATATCAGAAATGATGAAATTTATAGCTAACCCAGATTTCTGATACCCAATGCAATACACATAGTCCTCAAAGTATGATCAGAAATTCTGTTGCCAAGCAATGGGTTAAGTGAGTCTGTTTGGCCTCACCGTTGACTTTGCTTGTCAGAAGCTCCCTTGGATCGCAAAGGACTATGATATGACCCTGGTGTACCTACAGCAAAATTCAGGTGCTTGCCAGTTGCCAAGCACCTGAATTTTGACCACATGACTGTGGGGACACTGTGATGGTCATAAGTCTGAGAACCGGTCATAAGTCATTTTTTCAGTGCCATCATAACTTAAAAAGAATGGCCATAAATCAAGAACCCCACCTGTAAATTTTCCAAATGCTGTACATTTCTTAAAAGGAGTTTTCTCTTTATAAGGTATTTTCCATTTAGGGTTAAGGAATGTGGGGAGGGGGCAGTTATTATACAATGTCTCTCGTTCACCCAGACAGCCAATTCTTTATAAACGATTACAATTTTCTTTAACAATAACCTTCTATGAACATATAATCTCTGCGTAATCATTTTTTTAAAGTTATATTTTCCACTGGCACTAGAAACGTAAGTCATGTCCACTATTTATCTGCTTTCCTTTCTCCTTTTTAAAATCTTAACTGCGAGCTCTTTCTACTCACATCTCTGTTTCCCACTTTGTCTTAGCTTTGAAGTATGTATGAAGGTGCCCAGTTAACTCTTTTCTTCCTTTTGTAGAATAACAATTTACCATTTCATCCCAGAATCTAATTCATGAGAAAACGTCTCGCCTTGACACATTCCTTAATTTTAAATGCATCCTTTTGTCTGTTTCTTTCCAGGCTAGGTCCTTCAAGAAGAATGTCCCTGCCAAAGCATTTCCTGCCTTCCTTTGTACTGTAAGTGGCTGTATTGCTTTTTTTTTTTTAATTCACAAAAAATCATTCATGTATTCAGCCTTCAAAGACCATTCTGAGACTATGTCTGAACTACAAAGCCTTATGACAAATATCTAACGACATTATCAGATAGTTTTGCTTATTCACCTATCCCCTTTGGCTTTTCTTTCATAACATTTGATTTAATCAAGTGTTCTGGTAAACACTGTCTCATTTTGACATAATTAATGATGTGTTAACACAAGCACAATGTAGATTGGGATTTTTTTTAAAAAAAAAAGTACAGTCAATATGGTTGTGATTTCTAAATTGTCTAAAGTTGAGATGGGAATCCTTTCCCAAAACTATTTTTTTGGGTCTCCAACAGTTACAAGGAATGTTGGGGTGTTGCAGTGATATAGATAGGATCAAATTTTGCCATCTGGCTTTTTATTAGGAAGGAAGGTTGGGCTTTTCTTTCCAAGTAAAATAACTATGTTAAATGTATCAGAAACTTAATTTAGCTAGTCCTCAACAACAGTTCATTTAGTGACTGTTCAAAGTTACAACACTGAAAAAAGTGACTTGTGATCATTTTTACACTTACGACCATTACAACATTTCCATGGTCACCTGATCAGACACTTGGTAACTGACTCATATTTATGACGATTGCCATGTCTGATGGTCATGTGGTCACTTTTTGTGACCGGACAAGCAAAGTCAATGGGGAAGCTAGACTCACTTAACAACTGTGTTACTAATTTAACAGCTGCAGTGATTCACTTAACAACTGTGGCAGGAAAGGTTGTAAAATGGGGCAAAATAATTTAACAAATGTTTCACTTAGCAACAACAATTTGGGGCTCAATTGTGGCTATAAGTCAAGAACTGTCTGTAGCTAGTTTGTGTTTGTGAGAGTAACACTTCCACTGTACAGAGTGAAATTTAAAGTTTCTATCTGAAAACTAAATATGAATTTCATATTCTACTACCCTGTTTCCCCTAAAATAAGACATCCCCTGATAATAAGCCCAATCGGGCTTTTGAGTGCATGTGCTAAAATAAGCCCTCCCTGAAAATATTTAAACGCATGCACAGCTGGTCCCCGCCATTTCCTCTGGTTAGGATGACAGAGCTGGAAATCAGGTAAAGCGGCAAGAGGAGCCCCGTCTTGCTCCACGCGCCCCAAAATAATAAAACCTCCCCGAAAATAAGGCCAAGCATTTATTTCGGGGTTCAAAAAAATATAAGACAGGGTCTTATTTTCAGGGAAACACGGTAGCATGACATAGTGTCCTATAAATCAGTGTTCCATTTGCCATTAATACATTGGCATTTTATAGCAAGAATAACAATAATTATTGTTTATATATTTCATTGTTTATAATATATTTAATGTATTGTTTATATATAATAATTATTATTATATCCTCTTTCTCTCCAGGTTGCTATAGAAGATTATTTACATAAAATACAAAAAGCTGACTTCAATGTATTTCATCCAAGTTTGCACCAGAAGAGCACTTTACTACCTTTGCATTTATATATTAGATCATGGAAAAAAGCTTATTGAAAAATATAAGATTGAGTCTTTCTGATTGAGAATTATTATTATTATTATTATTTTCATTTACATGGCAATGTTATATGGATGATATATCCAGGCTCTTTTTTTCACATTTAATCCAATCCCTGATCTCACAACAACCTTATGAAATACATTTGATAAATCAGTAACTAACCCACTGTCAAAGAGTAAACTGCATGACTGAGTCTGTATTTGAATGCAAGTGTTGTCATCCAAATCCAATTCTATCCATGACACCCATCATCATAGAACTTGAGGGTTCTTTAGCAACTTTCTATCCAGGGACTAATTAAACGGAGCAGTGGTGGGTTTCAAAAATTTTTTACTACCGGTTCTGTGGGTGTAGCTTGGTGGGCTTGGCTTGGCTTGGTGGATGTGACAGGGGAAGGATACTGTAAAATCCCCATTCCTTCCCCACTCCAGGGGAACGATACTGCAAAATCCCCATTTCCTCCCGATCAGCTGGAACTCGGGAGGTAGAGAATAGATGGGGGCGGGGCCAGTCAGAGGTGGTATTTAGCGGTTCTCCGAACTACTCAAAATTTCTGCTACCGGTTCTCCAGAACTGGTCAGAACCTGCTCAAACCCACTTCTGAAACGGAGCCTTGCTTAGGTTCAGCCAGGTGTTTGTATCAATTACAGGTAGTCCTCGATTTATGACCACAATTGAGCCAAGAAATTATGTTGCTAAGTGACAAGTTTGTTAGTTGAGTTTTCCCCATTTTGCAACTTTTCTTGCCACATTTATTAAGTGAATTCCTGCAGTTGTTAAATTAGTAATAGGTTGTTAAGTGAATCTGGCTTCCCCATTGACTCTGCTTGTCACAAGGTCGCAAAAGATGATCACATAACCATGGGGCACAGCAATGGTCATAAATATGAACCAGTTGTCAAGCATCCGAATATAAATCATGTGACCATGGGGATGCTGCAAAGGTCATAAATGTGAAAAACGGTCATAAGTCACTTTTTCAGTGCCGTAACTTCAAAAGGTCACTTAATGAACTGCTGTAAAGTGAGGATTACCTATACAGATTAAAACACAGACAGCAAAATTTGACAAAATGAGTATACAGTTTTCTAGTTAGCATAGGCATTGTGGAAATCCTGGGAGCTGAACATTGGACATTTGACAAATGTCTAGATTGAGGAGAATGTTCTATAGGATGCTGATTTTTTACTTTTTTAAAAGATTGTTTGCATGCCTTAACTTGTTAAAATGTTTCACTACTGCTTTTCACCAGAAATAGTAATTTACAAAAAACAATAGCATGCAAAAAGAAAGCCCCCACATGCAAATTTAACAAAATAATATGCTTAAAAGCATGAAACACAAAAACCTGAAAAGTATGCAGATTATATATTTTCACTTATATGTGCCGGTCATAAATCCCTACAAAAGAGAAACCAAAAAAAAAAGTTATTTTCTAGCAACAGTAGTTTGGCTAATTAATTGGCTGGTACTTGGTTAATGTGAACTGTAACTGTATTCTGTGGATAACTAACTAACAGTATGTTAGTTATCAAATGTGCTTCTTTCACAAGATACTTAGAAAATATTTGTGAATGTGTGTGTGCATGTGCACCTTCAAGTCAGTTTTTTTTTTATTCCTAGTGACTACCCGGATAGGTTCTTGAACTTGCTTGGCAATATGTTGGAAGTAGCTTCCCATTGCCTCCTTCCTAGGGCTGAGAGAGTGACTGGCTCAAAATCACCCAGCTAGCTTCATGCTTAAAATGGGACTAGAATTCACCATCTCCCAGTTTCTAGCCTGATGCCTTAACCAATATATCAAAAAATACGAAAAGAAAAAGATACTGTTAACATGCTAACATAAAAATGCATATTTTTAAAATTTCCTTTACAGAACTATGTAGATGCCTGCATTTTCAGTTATGATTTCATTAGTAGCACAGGAAACAAATATATTTATTTATTTACAAAGTTAAATGGCTGCCAATCTCATACAATGTTTTCAGGTGACACACACATTTTATAACATTTTTAACTTGCAAATACTTTCAACTTTTGCTGCTGGATGAAACACTCTTTCAAAATTGGCCAGTAGAAATATCTGTTTGGCTTGCAAACTTTTTATATCATTCAGACATTTGATATGGAAACTTTTCTAGTATGATGTGCAGGAATTAAAGTTATGATTTGTTGGTCGAATCAATACAGTTCATTCTCAGATGTTTGCTTTATGAATAGACAGTTGTATTGGAATAGCTTTACTATGGAATTGTTTTTTTAAAAATAGTATTTCTTTGACAGGGTGTGCCTAGGAAAGAATTTTATATATCTCAGAAATCAACCAAAGTTTGAACATCAGTTGGCTCAGGAGAATAATATTAATTACACTTTGGCCTATGCCTGTTAAATCTTGACCAGATAAACTGAGAGGTTGGGATTGATGAAGAAGCTTCAAAATCTGTTTTCTATGCAAATAATACCCATTTGAATCTACAACATTTCAAGAAAAGTTTAGAAGGTTTCATTTTCTGAAACACAGGAGACCTGGTACCAGCAACTATAATTAACACTGCCCTAAAATAGACTAGTGGTTTGACTCAGAAGAAATTGTTCTTCATTTTACTTAGGCTCAGATAGTCTTAAATCTTTTGCAGTCTAGCTGCAAAAGGCAAGAAATGATTCCTTGTGTGATGGAAGGCAAGGAGGTGTAGTAAAACCCAGAGAATATGCATGAGCAGACAGGAGCCAGTAAACAGGATGTGAGTTCAGAAAATTGCAACAGAAGTCATGTGAGATTGTAAGGTTTTAAAGAATAATACAATACTGTGTCAAAGTGCAGGTATTCCTGGCTATGGACTCTGTAATCAACAGAAGCTAAGTAGGTGAAATTTGTCATCTTCAACCCCTAATTTCCCTTCTCTCAGGAAACTGCCTAGAATTCTCCCTGTGGATGAACACAAGGAGGCAGCTTGTGACAAGTATTTTTCCTTGTGCTAATCATTTACAGGCTGATGGGTTAATTTCTTCCTTCTGTTTAAAAGAGTTAGCTAGCCTATCTATGCATCATTTCCTCCAGCAATCCTTCCATCTTCTGGCCTCTTTCTCCTCTTTTTAGTATACATGAATATCTCTGCTTTCTCTGATATTATTTTTTTTAAGATGTCCTGTATTCTGAATGGAAAAATATTGAACTGTACAGGTAGTCAGTCCTTGCTTAACAACTGCCCTGTGTTTAGTGGCGGTTTAAAATTATTCTGGTACTGAAAAAGCATGTTTATGACTGGCCCCCACTGCAGCATGCCCATGGTCGTGTGATTGTGATTCCAGCACTTCAGAACCGGTGGTGTTTGACTGTCGTAGCGTCCTGTGGTCATGATTGCCATTTGTGCCTGTCACAGCTAACTTCTGACAAGCAGAAGCTGGCAATAAAATTGTAAGTTGTGGTCACGTCTCTTGCTTAACAACCATGGGTGATTCCCTTAACTATTGCAATGGAAGTGAGGTAAGGCCATTGTGGTCATGTGATATCTTGCTTAATGATTGTATCATTTAGTGACAGAGTTGTCAGGCCCAATTTTGGTTGTTAAGCAAAGACTAATTCATCTCAGCATTATCCCCATATAATATTGACTGATATCGACTAGAAACTTGATTAAAACCATAACCCAACATTGTCCTGCCTGGGATTCTCCAGTTTTGTTGGTCTACAATGCATGGTGAGGCATTCTGGGATTTGTAGGCCAATGTAGCTAACCCTCAAGTACAGGCCAACAGTCCTTTGCATGCAACAGAAGTAGCATAATAATTGGGAGGAATGTGAATGCAACCCCAACATCTTCATTTGATTTAAGAGATTGCTGTACAATTAGCACAAAGAACTGACCTAAAAAAGACATATCTTCAGGAACCAATGGCCTTGCTATGTTGCTGAATTACATGCATACTAGTGAAAGATTCTGGCAGTTCTGGTTCAGTGGCATCTGGAAAGCCATTTATTTCCCACCCATGTGAAAGAATTTGGGATATGCTTTTATCTGAATACATTTTACAATCCTACCTGTGAAGTCTGTGACCCGACCCAATTTTACTACTATTTTTAATGGTCATAAAAGTAAAATCAGTCATAAGTGTGAATCCAGATTAACCAATGGTGTATTTTGCGGGGCCACGGAATGGTACAACTGATGTAAGTTGGATCACATGACACGGGGGTGACAGTCATAAGTTCAAATTTAGGTTGTGAGTGACTTTTTGAAGGCTGTAATCAATTCAAATTGTTTTTACAAATGTACAAATTGTAAATTGATGGTATACGTTCTGCGTAAGTACAGTGTTTTCCACATCATATATTTGTGCTACCACATTTGAAACTGAGGGTCCTAATTATATAATGTAATGCAAACAAAATAATTATGAGAAAGAGATTTAAGATAATTATTTAGTACAATAAGTCAGCCCAAATTGCATATCAGAAATATATGTACTCAAGGAGCTGTAAACATATGCAACTGAGTAGTATATGTCATCAGAGCATAATATTCTGATATCTCAATCAGTATCCATTTGGCTGCAAAATGGCACATAAATTCACAAGGTTTGTGTGAATAAAAGGGTAGGGATGTAATCAATATATAAGAGCTTATACTGTAGTGCCTACAAGATCTTAATGATATTTAGCATCTTTGCTTACAGAATCAATCAAGAACATTCATTCATTCATTCATTGAATATCAATGTTGAAAGAGTTCTGTGTACTGATTCAGATATTTGCATGGCTCCCAAGAAACATTGTTCAGATATTTAAGATATATTATGTTTCTTAAGTTTAAAGAAATATTGAAGGCGCTTTGAAACACATTTGTTCATCACAGGAGGAAATAAAATATGTTTTGAAGCTAGCTAAATAGTCTAGAATTGTCTCTCTGTACTCTAGAATAGCACAAACACTTAGTTTTCATTAAGTCACCCCTGTTTTAAAAAGTTACAGATTCCTCCATGAGAACTGAGTCTATTCACACAATATGCTTTTTTATTTCTTAGAAAATTGATTCATTCAGTAACCAGGTTAAATATGTTACATAATCACTGCATAACATGATGCAAATCAAGCTTAGACTTGAAGACTCCCAAAAACCCCTCCAGCCCTGAAATTGTTTATAGCAACTTCTTCCCTGTTGGCAATCCAGCCATGTTACAAACACTTCTGTATGTATGTAAGTGGATAAATGCAAATCTCTCCATATCAGAAGTTGTCAGATTACCTGAAAATGCTTAACAGAGACAAATAAAAAGATCAAAAGTAGAAGGAAGGGCTGAGAGGTTCCCACCCCCTCTTTTTTGTGCCTTTGAGTCAATCTTTACTCCTAGCAGTTGCCTGGACAAGTTCCATAACATTTTCTTGAAAAAAAATTTAGAAGTAATTTGGGGTTGCCTTCTTTCTTCCTAGGGCTGAGAGAGAGTAATTGACGCAAAATCATCCAACAGGTTCATGCCGAAAACAGGAGTAGAACTCATGGTCTCCTACTTATTAGTCTGGTGCTTTTAAACACTAAACCAAACTGGCTCTCATACCTGGCTTGATAACAGCTGAAGTGAAAGGATCTTGAAAAGATAACCAAGAAACTGAACATAGGATTGTTCAGATCACCCAGTTAGCTAGTGGTTAAGTCGCAGGGCAGACTAATAGAATGTACTAACATTCTAACCAGCTTAATTCCCATAATTATTCTAGAGCTAAATTAATTCTTCCCACTCAACCATATGTTGTGCAAATTGCTTCCTGGAGAGTAACAACAAATGTATTTTCCTGTATCTGAGTCAGATAAAGTCACCATCTTGGGTATTCTTTTTCTGTTTTACAGGGTCCCAAAAGAGGCAAAACAATGTATGACTGCACAAGCCCTTCCTTCTCTACCTACAATAATGCTAATTTCAATTGCACCATCATGGTTTTTTTCTTCTTCTGCTCTGATAAAAAAAAAAACCTCACCACAGTATTTCTTAACTTTTGACAACTTGAAGATGTGTGGATTTCAACTCCCAGAATTTCCCAACCAGATATGCTGGCTGGGGAATTCTGGGAGTTGAAGTCCACACATCTTCAAGCTGCCAAGGTTGAGAAACGTGCTCCAGGAAATGTTTTATGTAGCAGATGGGAAACTCGGAATATGGCTGCTTCTCAGCTGACCAGGTGATAAGTGATTGCTAGCTGTTGGCACATGGCAGTAAGTCAATGGCCTGAGGAAGCAGATGATGAAACCAGCCATTTAGTACAAATGTGGCTTATGAATCAACAAACTTAATATGAATCAACAGTGCTATGTAGCTGCAAAAAATGACAAACAATTTTAGACTAGCTCAGTGAAAGCACAATATTCCACTCCTAGGAGATGATACTTCATTTTCTTCTTGTCCCTGTAAAGCCCCCTCCCCAGATACCATATCTTATATAGGATTCAGACAAATTGAAATAGGTTTAGTAAAGTGTAATGGGGATGAGTGTCAATTTGGTGTAGCAGTTTAAGGTAACAGGCTAGAAGCTGGGGGACCGTGAATTTTAGTCCCACTTTAGTCATGAAGGCAGTTGGGTGATTTTGGACCCAATTTTTCTGAATGGGTACAAAATATCTGCTGGGGCTATTAAGAAAGACTGAGTCTGCTTTCTTCTTTAAGAGCATGTTTCTCCATTTCTCCCTTTGGAGAAATATAATATTATGCTTCTTTTATCTTGCCTTTTTATGTACACTGAGATAATATGCACCAACGATAAATTCCTTGTGTGTCCACACTTGGCCAATAAAGAATTCTATTCCAAATGCCTAGGAATTGGGGATTTAGGTCACAGAGTTACACGTTTCCTCATGTGGCAGAGAAGATACAATAAAAGCAATGTGGGGCTTCCTCCTCTTTAAAAAAACAAAACAAAAAACACCATCTAATCAGAAAAAGGAGGAAAATTTCTTGCTCCTGATTGGTTGTTCACAGTTTCCTGAGTGTTAATGGTCTCTGCCCTCTATCTAGATTGGCAGATTAGATTTGATTGAAAGATCACTGAAGCTTTCCTTTCACATCTTTATACTTGAATGACATTTCTCCTCATACTAACTGAAGGGCAATAAGCCACCATGAACATGCCAGGCTGGGAGTGCTGTGGTATAGATGATCAGGAGAGTGGAAAATAAGATGCACTATGGCAGGGGTGTCAAACTTGTGCCGTCACATGACGTGACTTTTCCTCCCTTTGCTAAACCGAGGTGGGCATGGCCAGCATGTGACGCATCCGGCCCACGGGCCGCGAGTTTGACGCCTCTGCACTATGGCAAATTCAGAGAACTGGATGTGGTTAACTTTGGAACAAAGAAAGCTGGGATTGCAATCTTCAAGTATCTGGAAGGATGTCATACAAATGTTTTCAATCATGTCAATTGAAATACTGAGAATTAGCTCTTAAACTACAGGAAGACTGATTCTGATTGAAAATTAAGAGAAACCTATTAGTAAGAACCGTTGAAAATAAAACTACTCTCCTCCTCCTCCTCCTCCTTCACTGGTTGTAGCCAAGGAGATATGGACAGCCATCTGTCAGGGATACTTTCCAATATTATGATTCTATGACTATGAATATATTTATTTCTGAATAAATATATGTTGGATTGAGACAGATAAGATCTGGTCAAAATTGCAGTCAAATTGGGTGACTTGTGGCCAACCATGCTCTGTCAGTAGAGTTGTGAAACTAAAACGAGGAAAGAGCTCATGTACTCCTTTGGAAAATATTATTATTATAGTAGATAATTGCATCACAGTATCAAAGGCTACAAAAACAATATAAAAAAAGAGAAGAATATACAGATGCAGAATAATGACAAGGCTTAACACGGAAGGGACCGAATAACCTGTAACAGTTAGTGTCCATGGGGAGAGTGGGAATCAAAATTTGAAAGATGGCAAGTACAGTGGTATGATCCTTGTGTGTATGTGATGCATGCAAGGTTTGGATGGCAATACTATACCAGCCATCTTGCATACACACCCTGACATGGAAGGAAGGGAGGAAGGAAGAAAGGAAGGAAGGAAGGAAAGGAAGGAAGGAAGGAAGGAAGACATATTTCAAGATAATAAAACAAACTTCTAGGAGGAGCTCTTCACTGTTATATCAACCATTGAATTGAGTCAATGGTTTTTATCTTGGCTCTGTTCACTTTTTTGTCCTACTCTCAATTATGCTTTCAAATATGTATCCCTCTCCAGAACATCTCTTAAAAGCATACTTAACTTCACTCTGGAAAAACCATGCATATTTTAGGTTAGAGGCAATAGATTGGAGATCTGGGAGCATTTGTGAAAAACTTATTCTAGTTTCTCTGTACTCAGTGCTATTTCTCCGTTTCTAACACTAACAGCATATGTCTGCTTGGTGAAAATATTCTCTTCTGAGACTTCTATTCAGTTTTCCTGAAGATGGTGCCAAAACATGATGAAAGTGTTTATAAACAGAAGGCAGGGAAATTATATAAACCTCCACAATCTGCCTACCATACTTTTTCTTTCTGCCTGTACATCTATAAGACTGACACCCAATGGAAGAGTCTTTTGTAGCAATTGGCTATTGGTTAAGTAATGGATTGCTCATTATAATTTGTAAAGTACTGTTGCAATTTGAAAACACCTTGGTTATTAACAGCAGTGTATTTGTAGATTAATACATAGAAGCTATAGTGCTATTAATAAGAAGCCCAGTTGTTTCACTGTAAAATAAAGTTTATATTATTCCTTGAATTTATTTTTTAAATGTTTGGGGGGGAAAGTATGGTTTTAAGGCAAAGAGGAGAATAATTTTATTCAGTTCTCGGCCTTATTTTAAAACTCTGCAAATTGGCTTTTAGGTTCTTGCCAACCTTCCTGGCTTGGCAAACTTTTCCAAAAGGGTTGAATATTACCATGTGGTTTGATTACCTAGGTCCAGCCCCACCAACAAGACTTTCAAAGAACCATGACAGAAACAAAAATAATATTTATATAATTGTAGAAAATCTCTTTATCATTTAGAGTTAAGTTTTAAAGACTGGATATGTGATTTGCCTGTGCACTAGCCAGATGACATCTCAGCGCTACCTATGAAACTCATAAAACTGATTGAGAACCATTAATCTAAAGCTTGCAAGACTTAAAAGGCATTCTCCGTACAATAAATATTTTGTAACGGTAAAATATTATTTTAACACCAAGATGCAAGTATGAATTGATTATTTTCTCCAGCAGCAGATACTGTATTTTTCACTCCATAAAATGCACTTGACCATAAAACACACCTAAGTTTAGAGGAGGAAGTCAAGAAAAAAAATATCAGGTGGAGCCTGAGAGGATCATAGATAGGTGTCTTCTCATGTGCCAGCTCTGCCTATTAACTCCTGCACTGCGGAAAAGAGACAGAAGAGGCGGGCAATGACAAAGACAGAAGAGGCGAGGTTCAGCACTGTAAAAGGACCCCTGCTGCCGTGGCCCAGCCTGTGACACAATATTTGCTCCATAAGACGCACAAACATTTCCACTCACTTTTGGGTGGGGGGGAAGTGCGTCATATGGAGCGGTAAAATACGGTAATTAGTAAATTAAACCAATGGATAATTTGCCAACTTTATAGCAGTCTATTATTGTCTTTGCTACTAGTGAGGCAAACTGCAACAGGAGGCACAGATACAGCCTAGATGGCTTTTTTCTGCTATTAAAAAGAATTAAACGAAAACCTTGATTAACAAACGCATGATGGGCAATGAAGATCAATATCTGCTAGATAATATGCATATACAAGCATGAATAAGATGAGAGTACAGTCAATGGATCATTACAAAATACAGAATAACAGAATTGGAAGGGATCTTGGAGTTTTTCTAGTCCA